TTTTAACTCAGAATTCTCCAATTTGAGACTCTCAGTCTTATCAGAGTCAGAAGCAAGATTCCTTTTCAGGTTTCTGAATTTGACTCTGATCTGCTGATATCTTTCCAGAATTTCATTGAGGCTTTCAGCTAGTTCAACCTTAGTAAAGTCAGGGAATACCTCTTCTATATCTGATTCAGATTCTGACTCAGAAGCTTCACTGTCTTCTATTATGTTTGCCATGAGAGCTATGTTTGCTCTTTCATCATCTGATTCTGATTCAGCTTCAGATGTGTCAGAATCATCCCATGTAGCCATGAGACTTTTCTTCTTTTCCTTGCCAAACTTCTTTTTGGGCTTTTCCTTCTGAAGCTTTGGGCAATCACTTTTGTAGTGCCCTTGCTCTTTGCATTCATAGCAGATGATGTCTTTGTTGTTTGGATTTCTATTTCCTGAAGAGCCTTCAGATCTTCTGTGTCCAGAGGAGGATTCTGACCTTCTGTATCTGGAGAAAGATTCATTCTGATTTTCTGATCTTCTGGGATTCCTGAACTTCCTTTGCCTCTACTTCCACAATTGGTTCACCCTTCTGGAGAGGAGAGATAGTTCATCTTCTTCTGATGAGGATCCATCAGAGGTTTCTTCCATAGCCTGCAAAACTTTGGAGTCAGATTTTCTATTAGATTTTAAAGCTAATGGCTTACCTTACTTTTGAGGTTCATCTGCTTCTAGCTCTATCTCGTGACTTCTGAGGGAGCTGACAAGTTCCTCCAGAGAGATTTTGTTGAGATCCTTGGCTAGCTTAAGCGCTGTGACCATTGGCCTCCACTGTTTTGGCAAGCTTCTGATGATCTTCTTAACGTGATCAGCAGTGGAATACCCTTTGTCAAGGACTTTTAGACCAGCAACAAGAATTTGAAATCTTGAAAACATAGTTTCTATTGATTCACTCTCTTCCATCTTGAATGCCTCATACTTCTGAATGAGTGCAAGGGCTTTGGTTTCTTTGACTTAAATGTTGCCTTTATGCGTCATTCTCAGAGAGTCAAACATATTCTTTGCAGTGTCTCTGTTTGATATCTTTTCATATTCTGAATAAAAGATGGCGCTGAGAAGAATTGTTATGGCCTTGTGATGATTTCTGAAATCACGCTTTTGCTGATCAGACATTGTTTTCCTGTCAATCTTCTGACCACTTCCATCCACTGGGTGCGTGTATCCATCAGTCACCATGTCCCACAGATCAGCATCATGGGCCAGAAAGAAACTCTCAATTCTGTCTTTCCAGTCGTCAAAGTTCTCTCCATCAAAGACTGGAGGTTTGCCACTGAATCTGTCTCTTTCTTCATTATTGTCATTGCTGATGTTTTGATTTGGTCCTGCCATTGTGTTTTTCTGACGCTGGATCTTGTACTAACACGGTTAAGTGTTATAAGCTCAGAACCAGGCGTTCTGATGCCAATTGAAGATGTGAAAAACACAAGAAGGGGGGTTGAATTGTAAAACTTAAATCAAATGCTTAGACAACACTGTATTTTTATCCTGGTTCATTTGATCTCAAACTACTTCAGTCCACCCGTCAAGGTGATTTCGCCTCTCTCCAACGAGGTCTTAATCCACTATATTCAAAGGATTACACAACTAATTTAACAACTGTTAAAGCCTTCTTGAGTATAACCATAATCCGGTTTATCTCAAGGAAATCTCTTTACAGATAATTGAACAATGATGTGTTTAACGTTTTCTAATAAAACTATATATCACAACTGTGATAATACACAAATTAAGCTTGGAACAAAAATGATTTTGCTAAAGCGTTTGAGTGAGCGTGATTTGAAGGCTTGGCAAATTATGAGTGCATGCGTGTGATAGGCGTAGTCTTTTCTCACACAGACTTGTTTAAATAGCCAAGGAAGAGATACGTTGACCATAAAGCCATTTCAATGATAATAACGCACTTTCCTATTTGAGAAGATTCTGTCTGAATAAAGCCGTTGATAATTAATTTGTCTTGAATACTTAGTAACGCTTCAGAGTCTTCTTTGCTTTAGCTTGTGATAACGCTTCAGAGTGCTGATGACTTGGAAGAGATCTTTGATCAGAGTCAGAGTGTATATGTTATGCACAGATTTTGGTCATCAAGCTTCAGCGTATGATCTGGTATCTTTAGCGTGTAGCATATGTTACTGATCTTCTGATGCTGACATATTACTGATCTTCTGATGCTTCTGATGATGCTGATGCTGATTCCATCAGAATTTCTGTACATACAGAACATAATTTAAGAAGCATATTTGTTCCATATATATATAAATCTTACAATTAATTTATTCTTTGTATTTTGTTATCATCAAAACTCTAATTAAGGGTTGTAGAATCAAACTATGTTCTAACAGAAGTATGTGAAAGTTGTGCTTGGTCAAAGTTCAGCTGACTTCTCCTTAAAAAAACCCTAATTTAGTAACTTTTGACTTTTGATGAATCTTGAGTTTTCTTGATGAATCATGATCAAAACTTGATCAAATGATAAATATGAGTTCAAAATGTTGATGTTGACAGAAAACCTTGAAGTTTGACTGTAGATTGGTCAAAGTTGACGTTTTGTCCAATACAATTGATTTTCAATCATCTGAGCAATTGATTGAGCAAACTTGTACTGCAAGGCTTAAAATTTGGTATGAGGATACTTTGAGACATATGAGAAACCATGACGTTCACTTGAAGCATTAGAAACACAATTTCCTTTGAGAGAAGAAAAACCCTAGTTGTAGGTTAATTGCTTAGGAGGAGAGTTCATCTGATCAATCTTTGAGTAGTCTTGAGTATTTGAGACCTTCATGAGTATGAAGAGGTATCTTGAATCAATTTTTCTCAAAGATGAGAGTGGAAATTTTGGGATAAAACAGATGCATTCTGAAAAATTAGGAAAGCAAAGCTTGTTGTCTAATCGACTAGAGCTTGCATCTAATTGATTACAAATTGAGCTCGCCTTTTAATCGATTAAGAAACCTATTAGTCGATTAGAATGCACTTTGGCTTAAGTATTTCATATTTTTGGTAGGTCTAATTGATTAGCGCTGCAGGCTAAACAATTAGAGAGCGACTAGAGTCAACTAATTATTTCATTTTTTAGTCAAATTTTGTCTCATATATAAAGGAATCTTATGCTTACTTCTAAAGCACAAAAATTTGATTTACTACTCACTTTTCTCACTCATTCTCTTTCTAGAAACATTTTTTATCCACTGCACATTACTTTGGTGAGTGCGTTGAAGGTTTATATTGAGAATTGTGTAATTTTGTGGTTGTGCTGGAATTGTAATTCAAGAACATAGTTCTATTATATCTCTATATTTGACTTTGAGATTGCAAGCTAAATTTGGTTAAAAAAACTTAGTGTAAGGAAGGTTGTTAGGTTGATCCCGATGTAAAAGCTGAAGTTGTTGTTAGTGAAAATTTCAAGGGAAATTTTTTGAGGACTTCATTAGGCTGCGTGGTTTAAGGTATAACAAATATAAATCCTTGTGTGATCTTACTATCTCTATTTTTTTTCATATTTTATTTTGAGATGCTTAATCTCTTCTTATTCTTCTCTGTTCAAAAATTAAATAATACAATTCACCTCTCTTGTGTTTGAAGTAGCTTGGTCAACACCGTTGACTTGATCCTTCATCTCACATGGATAACTTAGAATCCTTCAAAGTGGTGCTCTTTTCTTGAGAACTTCTGCAGTATATGATCTATACTAGAGAGAGTTTGTATAAGCGTACAGTTCTAATTGATATAGATAACGTTTTTTGGACCACTTGTATATCCTTTGTAGAGTTAATTTCTCATCTATTTGTAACTTTTGAGGTGACTTCATCTACGTGGTATACATTATTTAAATAATTAGGGTGATTATTGATTATCCCTAAAGATCTTAGGTTTCTTTTTTGACTAATTTATCTATCTGAGTGTAGGTTTAGGATTTAAGATGAATTTGTCCTGATATGACATTTTGTTTTTTCAATTTGAACTTTCTGAAATGATATTATTTTTTTTCCACATCATCAACTAATGTGAATGATGTGCAAGAAAAAAGACTTTTTTTTTTTTAAATTTGAAAATGTTATTTTGGCATGCATGTGGTCAGTTCTTGTACTTAGGGTGTGTTTGGATAAGCTTCTAGCTGGTGAAACGCACATCTGCAACAAATTCCAATGCATATGCACCGTAGAAATGAGAAGCTGCAAATTAGAGCTTCTGACGAAACACACGTCTGGCTTTTTCCCACAGCAATACCAAACATGCTATTAGTCTACTTGACTTAAGAACACTATCTTTTATTTGAGCCAATTGCATTTTGATAGTCTTTGACCACATTTTCCATAGATTAAGATCTATCATGCTTTCCTATGATGAATTTTTTATTGCCTAATTATTGTGTGGTATATCCTATATATTTAAGATGTTTCTTCTCGATAGTCATTTCCTTTTGTTTGCCTCATTATTGTTAATTTTTTATTATAAGTGGTATCAAATAAGTAATACATATACTTAAACAAGTAATTATACTATCTCTCATAAATTTTGTCTTATTTTGTTGCTTCCAAGGTATTTTTAATAATAAATATACTTAATGCCTCACGATTTTTATTAAAAAACTTTGAAATCCTTTAAAAAACACTCTTAATATAATATGTTTTATTTTTCAATTTAAACAAAAGCACTTGTCCTGCTCATTGGCAGGCACACCAATCCAAATCCAGACAAACCAACAACCTCATCAAAAGTCATTCAAGAAATAGTACACCCAAATTTCACACACTTAAAGTCTTGACTTTACTAAACAGAGAGAAAATAACCTAGAAAAAGAAAATCTACATATTTTAATAAACAAATAAATAAATAAATAAAAATGTTTCCGTTTACCATTAAAATTTCTTCAACTCCCAACTTCCACGTTCTTCTTCTCTTCCTTCCTCCACTCTCTAAATTCAACAAAAAGCGAAAAACTTTTCTATACTCTCATCTTCACCATGCTTTCCCGTAAACTCTTTCAATCTCAGCCGTCCACGTCATCACCACATCTTCAACCTCACCACCACCACCGTCACCGCCACCACATTCTTATTCCTCTCCTCGCCGTAACAGCCGTCTTATTAACCATCCTCCTCTTCTTCGTCTTCCTCTTCCGCCGCACCCGAAAAAAACGCACCGCTCCATTCTGCTTCCCCGACGATAATCCACCGCACCGGTTCTCCTACTCCCTCCTCCGCCGCGCTACAAACTACTTCTCAGTTCCACTCGGTCACGGCGGCTTTGGCACCGTCTTCTCCGGTACTCTCTCTTCCAAACCGATCGCTGTTAAGCTCATGGACAGTTCCTCTCAGCAAGGCGAACGGGAGTTCCACAACGAGCTCTTCTTCTCTTCGAAGCTTCGTTCTCTGTATATAGTTCCTCCGTTAGGGTTTTCGTCTGACCCAAAACGGTGCCGTTTTCTACTCGTTTATCCTCTGATGCAAAACGGTAATCTTCAAGACGCGCTTTTGAAGCGTAAGTGCTCTGAACTTTTTAATTGGAGTAAAAGGTTTGAAATTGTGTTGGATATTGCTAAGGGACTTTGTTATCTTCACTCTTTTGATCCTCCTGTTATACATGGTGATATAAAGCCTAGTAATATTCTTTTAGATTGTGATTTTGCTGCGAAGATTGGAGATTTTGGACTTGCGCGGTTGAAATCGGAGCCGGTTAGGATTGATATTGAGCTTTTGGATATTGATAGTGAGGATGAAATGAAGAAAGGGGATGGAGATTTGGAGTGTGGTGGTGTTAGGGTTTTGATTGATGATTGTGGATCTGTGGAAAGTGTTCATACTACTTTTTTTGAAGATGGTACTAATTTGGGTTTGGAGCAATCTCCGATGGCTTCTCCTATGACGATGGCTTTGGCAGCGTCGCCGGGGTTTGATAAGGCTAGTGTGAAGAGTGAGAAGGATGTTGTTAGTGTTGAGAATGGTAAGAGGAATGGGAAAGGGATAGCGGGTAGTCCGGTTAGGGATTGGTGGTGGAAACATGAGAATGAGGTTGTGGGTTTGACGCCGGTTGGGGAAGGTAAGAAGGTGAAGGATTATGTGATGGATTGGATCGGAAGGGAAGTGAAAAGTGAAAAGAGTGAATTAGTGGAAGAGAAGATTGAGAAGATGAAGATGGAGAAGAACAAGAACAAGAAGCATAAATTGGAATGGTGGGAATCAATGGATGAGGAAAATGTTGGCGGAGTGATGAAGGATAAGAGAAAGTCGGTTAGGGAATGGTGGAAGGAGGAGTATTGTGAAGAGGCTGCAAAGGAGAAAAAAAAGAAGAATAAGAATAAGAATAAGAAGAAAAAGGGTGTAGAAAATGATGATGGCATTAGCGTTGATGATAATTGGTGGATGAGTGATGATACATTGTATGGGGATAGAAAGAAGGAAAAGAGAAGAAGTAGGAATAATCGCGGTAGTGTCGATTGGTGGTTAGACGGGTTCAGTGGCGAGTTATGGAGAGCACGTAGGAATAGTTTTGATTCAGCAAGTGGAGACATTCCAAAGAGTGGTGGTGTGAGTAGTACACCAAGTATGAGAGGAACCATTTGTTATGTTGCTCCCGAGTATGGCTATGGCGATGATGTCTCCGAAAAGTGTGATGTTTATAGCTTTGGGATCTTGTTGCTTGTTATCATTTCTGGGAGGCGCCCACTTCAAGTAACCGGTTCACCGATGTCAGAGTTTCAAAGAGCAAATCTTTTGTCATGGGCACGCCATTGTGCAAGAAATGGTAAGCTTATTGAGTTGGTTGATGAATCTATTCAGTCATTGAATAAGGACCAGGCTCTGATCTGCATCAAAGTGGCTTTGCTTTGTTTGCTTAAATCACCTACTCGGCGTCCTTCAATGAAGGAGGTTGTCGGGATGCTAAGCGGAGAGATGGAACCACCCCAGTTGCCTGTTGAGTATTCACCTTCAACCCCTTCTCGCTTCCCTTTCAAATGTAGGAAGAAAGGCCAAGGCCGGTAAGTTGGTTAGAAGTTATCATCACATAACCTATTTTCATGGATAGTAAGTGCTAAAGTAATATACTTGCAGTGGTAGTTTTCAAATGATAGATTATTGTATAGGACTTTAAGAGGTAGGAGCTGCGTTCTTACCATAGATAAGAGTTTTCTTTGTTTCTTTTCAACTTGGTTGTTTTTATTCGTGGTTACCATTTTAGTCCTAGTCTTTTCACTTTTCTTCTGTTGATACCATTGTTTGGGGTTTGATCTATGTACATTAACTTACTTCCATTATTCTTTTTCATACTGATTTGTAATACAGACATGCATTGATTGATGTTATGTTTGGGAACTATAATTTATGGCAAGGACTGAAATAAATTACCTTATGCCTTACCTTTTCTTTACTTAGAAAGTTACTCTGTTATGCTCCATTATGGATTACTGCTTCCTTTTACATTTTGTCAAGTTTTTACATTTATGGTTTGATCTGTTTCCTGGGTTCGCCGAGCGATGTGGATCTGGAAGTTTTTCTCTTTTCCCCCCTTTGGCATTTAAGTCTTCAGATTTTTGCCCCCTGTATCAGCCCATTTCTGTGCAGATATCTTATTGATTGAAGTTGGGTTTATTGCAAAGTTAGTGTTTGTTTGGATTGTTTGAGTTTGGCAGAATCATAGTATGATATTGATTTTGTACTATATTTTGAACCTTCAATGAAAAGATTACTTGTTCTTTAAAATAGGGTTGGATCTTTTTAGCCTTTTTGGCTGCTTTATTTGAATTGATACAAGATTAAGTTACGTCGATGATGTAATAAAACACTGCTGTGAAAAATGTGGTGATTTTCATTGATCCCACAGTTGGATATCTATTGATTATTTGTGTTAAATTTCAAAAAATAATCATGCATTTATAATTAAATTTGTTCTTGTCATATAGTATATTCAAATCTATGCATGACAATCTCGACTTATTAAAATATGAATATCATATCAAACAGTTTGTGTAGTATAAAAATGGTTAGGTTGCCTATTTGGTCTCTTATATTACTGAGATTTCACTTTGTTCTTATTACTATTTTTATTCTATTTTCATCTCTTAACTTTTCTTATGTAATTTCAATTAAATTTCAGCTTGCAAATGTTAATTAAAAAATCCGTCATTTAGTGACAAAAATCTGTCACAGATCCTTAAAATTCTGTCACTAGAAATCATTAGGACTTGAACCACAAAATATGATAAATGAACTGACAGTATAACTTGGCCTATAAAAATCTGTAGGTAGTTGAGTTATACTTGTATTACATAACTAGGGAGAGACACGGGTAATTTTTCTTGGTGTAGAATTTTTTATCGATATAAATAATATGAATAATTAGAAATTTTTATCGTTATAAATAATATGAATAAAAGGAACTATGAATAATTTATATAATCAAAATGCAAATTAATTAATTTGAAAAAATATTAAATTAGGATTAATTAAAATTTAGTAATACAATAAGAAGGTTATAATTTAATTTTATGATCCATTAAAAAGTTTAAACACAAATCAATAACATAATATCAAATTAGGGTCCAATATTGCAAAAAATTAGATAAGGCCCAACAACCTAACAAAACATGGCCAGTATAACATTCAACAATCTAGCATAATATGGCCCAGCATTGCATAAAAGTAAATAAATAAAAAATTAAAACGATATGAATATATCAAAACGTGAGAAAAGTTTTTTCAATAAAAGTGAGAAAAGTTAAAAATAATATAGAATCACGTGAATATATCAAAACGATATGAATACATATACTCGTTCATTCAAAAAAAAAAAAGTTTTTTCCACTGATTGAATATTTGGAATATTATATTGGTGATAAAATCTTTCAAGCTTGTGCACTCAATTGCCTGACTGTTTACTACTTAGAAGAAGCAACTTTTCAATTATAAAGAGTGGATATGTTTAATGTTAAGATGAAATAATTTATATTTTTTCCATCAACGAAAATGAAATCATTCATATCTTAGATTATTCGATAAAATAATTGTTGATATGATCTATATTTCTTATTAAATAAAAGTAATCATTGATTAAAATATAAAATATATTGTGATAATAATGACACGTGAAATAATATATTTTATTATTGCATTTATGTATTAATTCTCCGTCTATATTATCCATCAACCATCGACACTTTTTTTTTTGAAAGATATAATGCATTAACACAAAATTTATATACTTTACTCTGTGAACGAATGTTGAAAACTATATAATAGATGTGAACAAACTCTAGACAATTGATTTAAAATTAATCTTAAATTTTTCAAAATTTTAATATTACATACTCAAGTATATAAATTTTTATTGTTGAAGCATTCAAGAAACACAATGGTGTATAATCCACATGCTAACTAAACTATATCATTCAGCATAGAAATACAATAATTTCCGATATTCAATTTGTAAGCACACAAGATACAAACATACAACAATACTAAGCACTTTCTTAAGGATTAAAGAAGCCAAAATAATATTATAATAATACTTCACTTCATATTTATACACATACAAACTATAGGGACACATGTAAGTCCCTATAATCAATTATGATCAAATGAAAATCATAGAAGTCAAATGGTTACATTTGCATAAACTAAGTACATAATTTTCACTCTATGTTTATGTTTCACTCTATGTTTATGTCTATGTAGTAATATAGAGAACAAATATCCATATAGGATAGACTAACAGAAGAATTATGTCAATAGTATTTGATATGCCATGAGCTTTTGTTAATGAATTTCTAAAATCACTAAAATTGATATGTCATGAGCTCTTGTTAATGAATCTTTAAAAACACAAGAAGCTCGGGTATGCTCTTGCAACAAATAAGAAATTGAAGTCTCTAATATCTACTAATCTGAAAAGTTGAAGGAGTGGTGTCAAACATAAATCTATGAGAAAAATCTGCTATGCTAATCTCCAAACAAGTATTCCCACTCAAAGTTTGTTACCCTTAATATTTATGAATCATTCAAATAAACTTATTCATAAAAAGCATGCAAAAATTAAAATCAATGCATGTATGTATTATAGGTTTGGATTATATGTCAATAAAAAATAACTTCTAGTTAAAATCTCGTCTTAAGCATTTTGAAGGGTTCGACTCCGATAATTCATAGATTCATTAAGTTATCTTAGTTAACATAATTCAAGAATTTAAATGAATTTCAAAAATACGATTTGCAGAAATTTAACACAGCTATAACAACTACGAAATTTAACTTGCTTTGCCTCTTCAAGTTCCTGCTTAAGTGTTGACAGCTGCAAAATAAAAGCAATGATTAGGAAAATTAATGTTAATTGACAAAAGAAGGAAGAGTGACAATATCCATCAACATGTGAGTTTTTGTAATCTCATGTTAAAATAGTCTACTGGATTTACAGCCTAATGAGCAAATACCAAAAAAGATATATTAGTAAGGGTGTTCGCGGTGCAGTTTGGGCGGTTTTGAAGCAAAAAATCATCCGAACCGCAAGAGAAAAAAACATGTGGTTCGGTTTGGTTCGGTTGGCTTTTAAAAATAAATCCGAACCAAACCAAACCAAACTAATGCGGTTTGGATTGGTTCGGTTGTTTCGGTTTTTTACAAAAATAATTATTATGTCATACATACAAATATATAGGAAAATATAATTTTATATTTAATTGTTCATACATTACCATAAAAAATTTATAATTGTCAAAATAAATTTATAATTTGATACATAAAATTGCGTATTATAATTTTATCTAAATCTATATAATGATATCAACAAGATTGCATTCTTAAATAAATATTATACAAAGAATATGATAAAATATATTTTGTGAAAATAGTATTTATAAATGAATAATATTTTATTTTTTATGATTTGTAAATTAAAATGAATATAATACAAAGTATGATAAAATATACACATAATACATGTTGATTTCTCTAAAGAATTATAGAAATATATATTGGTTAGTAAGATTTTATAACATAATGCGGTTTTGTTTGGTTTGGTTCGGTTTGTAAAATACAAACCGCAAACCGAACCGAACCATGCGGTTCCACGAGAAAATGACCCAAACACATCCGAACCAAATGCGGTTTTTTGCGGTTTCGATTTAGTTCGGTTCGGTTTTGCGGTTTTCTATTGGGCCGGTTTGGTTTTGAACACCCCTATATATTAGCATGATGGTTACCAAAATAAATACTCCAGAAAAAATCAAAATTAATGGTATTTACCTCCAAAGTTATAAATAGGGTATTTCAGTCATTCATCAGTTTCAGTATCTGCTATGATGATAAACATTATCAAAACATGAACACGGAATTATGCATTCCATATGTAAAACTCAGCAAGAGCAACAGTAAATACAAACTATTAAACCAAATAAAATACATGGTGATTACAAGAAATCTAAAGTTGAAAATCAAAACTCACAGTTTTTCGGACTCCCTTTATAGTTATGTTTTGGAGTTCGACATTGCTACGAATAGAGAGGAGATACTGAAATGAGTACCTCATATAATCTACATAGCAAAGACCCGTCAAAATCTATTTAAATACTAACAAAACATCAGATTTTAACCGATAGATTAAGGTTTAATATACCTTAAACATGTATAATTCATAGATTAATCATTAATTTGTATTTGAAAGTTTCTTCAAAACAAACCAGCAAATATAAAGCATACTCAGAACATTTTCGAAACGAAAACGAAACTGAACTTAACAATAAATAAACATCATATTCAGATCTCATCGTGCAAAGCACACTATTTTTATACCAAGTAATTGCATACAAAATTAGGTTACAAAAGGAAAATAGAATCCACAGAAATACCATCAGAATATACCGTCAGAATTAGAATCCACCTTTCTTTCTCTTCCATTGAGCAAGAAGCTTGAGTTCTTCAGTTTTCTCTTAATCTGCCTGTAAGAAAAGAAACAATAACAAAAAACTCAGAAAGATTGATTTTTTGAGTGAAAA